CAATCGCCTCATATGCATGCAAAAGCTGGACAATGAACAAGAAGATCGAAGAAGAATTGATGCCTTTGAATTATGGTGTTGGCAAAGAATATCGAGTATACCATGGACTGCCAGAAGAACCAACAAATCTATCTTGAAGGAAGTACAGCCAGAATGCTCCTTAGAAGCGAGGATGGTAAGACTTTGTCTTGCTTACTTTGGATGTATTATCAGGAGGGATCTGTCCCTGGAGAAGGACATCATGCTTGGTAAAGTAGAGAGTCAGCAAAAAAGAGGAAAACCCTCAATGAGATGGATTGACACAGTGGCTGCAACAATGGGCTCAAACATAACAACGATTGTGAGGATGGCACAGGACTGGGCAGTGTTTTGTTCTGTTGTACGTGGGGTCGTTATGAGTCGGAACCAGCTCAACGACACCTAACAACAACGACCAATGCACAAATTATTACTGAGCTCTTTTACATTCTTTTTTTTTTTTTTGGTACTAAATCTTTGAAAAGTGGTGTGTGTTACACACACAGCACATCTTTTTTTTTTTAATTTTATTTTATTGTTCTTTAAGTGAAACTTTACAATTCAAGTTAGTTTGTCATACAAAAATTTATACATACATTTTTATGTGACCCTAGTTGCTTTCCCTACACTGTGACAGCACACTCCTCCTTTCCACCCCTGATTTCCCCTGTCCATTCAACCAGCTCCTGACCCTCTCTGCCTTCTCATCTCACCTCCCCGGACAGGAGCTGCCCATTTAGTCTCATGTATCTACTTGAGCTAAGAAGCACACTCTTCACGAGTATCATTTTATGTCCCATAGTCCAGTCTAATCTTTGACTGAAGAGTTGGCCTTGGGAATGATTTTAGTGCTGGGTTGACAGAGAGTCCAGGAGCCATGCTCCCTGGGGTTCCTCCAGTCTCAGTCAGACCATTAGGTCTGGTCTTTTCACTAGAATTTGAGTTCCGCACTCCATTTTTCTCCTGCTCCAATAGGGACTCTCTCTTGTGTTCCCCGTCAGGGCGGTCATTGGTGGTAGCCGGGCACCATCTAGTTCTTCTGGTCTCAGGCTGTTGCAGTCTCTGGTTTATGTGGCCCTTTCTGTCTCTTGGGCTAATGCCTTCCTTGTGACTTTGGTGTTCTTCATTCTCCTTTACTCCAGGTGGGCTGGGACCGATTGATGCATCTTAGATGGCTGCTCGCTAGCTTTTAAGACCCTAGATGCCACTCGTTAAAGTAGGATGCAGAACATTTTCTTAATAAACTTTGTTATGCCCATTGACCTAAATGTCCCCTGAAAGTATGGTCCCCAGACCTCCGCCCCTGCTACTCTGTCCGTCAAGGTGTTTGGTTGTATTCAGGAAACTTCTTAGCCTTGGTTTAGTCCAGTTGTGCTGACCTCTCCTGTAGTGTGTGCTGTCCTTCCCTTCACCTAAGATAATTCTTGTCTACTATCTAGTTAGTGAATAACCCTCTCTCTCCCTCCCCACCCTCATAACCATCAAAGAATGTTTTCTTCTCACACAGCACATCTTCATTCTGACTTGCCACATTTTGAGGTTCAGTAGCCCCATGTGGCTGGTGGCTGCCATACTGGACAGCATGGATCTAGATCTTGAGGAAGAGCATAAAAGTTACAAACACAGAGAATGGTGTATTCACACTCTGCCCTGCAATCCCATTTCTAGAGAGTTTCTTGCAATAAATCCTTGTGTGTGAACACAAGAACATGGGTACAAGGGCACATATACGTGCAAACATGCAGTGCAATGTGAGCAAAAATAGTGGAAACCACCTAAAACTCAACCAACAGGGAAGTGGTTCCATAAAGCAATTTTCAACCTAACAACGGAACTATTATATTGTTCAAAGGGAACAAGGGGTTTCTGAAGGCATTTAGTAAAATATTCTGAAAAAAGAACAACGATTAAAAGACGTAATTGGAACAATGTATGGGATTTGAATAAAGACTGCCGATTACACAACAGTGGTGTATCAGTATTACATTTCCTTATTTTGATAATTGTACTATGGTTATGAAAGAGAATATCCTTGATCTTAAGAGATAGACACTGAAGAATATACAGGTAAAGGGCCATGCTGGATGTGACTTACTCTCAAATGATTCAGGAAAAAGCAATATAGATGGATAGATATCGATATTTTTTGTCGTTGTTAGCTGTCATCAGGTCGGCAACTCATGGGGATCCCATGCACAACAGGACCATTGTGATCCATAGGGTTTTCATTGGCTGATTTTTGGCAGTAGATCGCCAGGCCTTTCTTCCTAGTCCATCTTAGTCTGGAAGCTCCGCTGAAACCTGTTAAGCATCGTAGCAACATACAAGCCTCCAGAAAGGCCTGACGATCTGCTTCAGTTAAGATTACAGCCAAGAAAACCCTATGAAGCAGTTCTACTCTGACACACATGGGGTTGCTATGAGTTGGAATCCACTGGCTGGCAATGGGTTATAACAAACCAAAAAAACCATTGCTGTCCAGTTAGTTCTGACTCATAGCGACCCTATAGGACAGAGTAGACCTGCCCCATAGGATTTCCAAGGCTGTAATCTTTTTTTATTTTTGTTCTTTTCAAGGTGAAATTTGAAATAACTGACAACTATAAACCCCAAATTGTTGCTTCAACCATATGAGTAATTACATTAATTCACATACACCTAGTCAAATTCTGACAAGAAATGAATTGTTATTTTAAATATACTCCATTTGTTCTTGCTGTTTTATATCAATGATATATTTTCTTTCAATTACAGATCCAGAAATATAATACCCTAAGCAGTCTGGTGAAAAGGTCGTCAAAGATTGGATCACGCCGGTCATTCTCCTTCCCCATAAGGCAATTATTGGGGTGGAATGTCGACCACAGTGGTGGAGCTGGACATCTGGTTTCTAAAATCCTCTCTAGCATTTCTTGACCTAGGCATTTGTAATATTCACAATCTCTGAATCTTACTTGAGATGTGTTCATAAAGTAAGGACCCTTGCGATTGCACGGGAGCCCTGGTGGCATAGTGGTTAAAGCACTCGGCTACTAACCAAAAGGTTGGTGGTTTGAACCCACCAACCACTCAGCAGGAGAAAGATGTGGCAGTCTGCTTCTGTAAAGATTACAGCCTTGGGAACCCTATGGGGCAGTTTCACTCTGTCCTCTAGGGTTGCTAGGAGTCAGAATCGACTTGACGGCAGTGGGTTTGGTTTTGGTTTTATGTGAAGAGGGAGGCAGAGATGGGAGTGATGCATCCACAAGCCAAGGAATGCCTGGAGCCACCCGAAACTGGAAGAGGCAAGGAAGGTTTCTCCCTTAGAGCCTTCAGAGGGAGTGCAGCTCTCCTATACAATCACAGGGTCCTTATAAGAGCGAAGCAGAGGCAGATTTGACACAGAAGAAGAACGCAATGTGAAGACTGAAGCAGGATGCTACGCTACTGGCTTTGAAGATGGAGGAAGGGGCCATGAGCCAAGGAATGAAGTTCTAGAAGCTCTCCTCCTGAAGGAACTCAACACCTTGATTTTGGCCTCAGCCCTGGTGGTGCAGTGGTTAAGCGCTTGGCTGCTAACCAAAAGATCAGCAGTACGAACCCACCAGGTGCTTCACAGAAGAAAGATGTGGCAGTCTGCTTCCGTAAAGATTTACAGCCTGAGAAACTCTATGGGGCAGTTCCGCTCTGTCCTATAGGGTCGCTATGAATTGGGATCAACCCGACCACAGTGGGTTTGGTTTTGGTTTTATGTGAAGAGGGAGGCAGAGATGGGAGTGATGCAGCCACAAGCCAAGGAATGCCTGGAGCCACCCGAAACTGGAAAAGGCAAGGAAGGATTCTCCCTAGAGCCTTCAGACAGAGCGCAGCCCTGCTGACACCTGGATTTTGGACTTCTGGCTTCCAGAACCATGAGAGAATAAATCTGTGTTGTTTTAAGCCACCAGGTTTGTGGTATTTTGCTATGGCAGGTATAGGAAACTAATACATGATCCTTCTTCTACTTTGGCTCCAGCACATCTCCCAGAGAACCAGAATGAAGCTGGAACAGACAAGACACAGGCCCCATTTCCAAGTCAGATGGTTGTGGCTCAGGGGATGGCTTCTCCTGCCAACTTCAGAACCTTAACCAGTTTCTGCCAACTCGTAGTGACCCCTTGTGTGCAGAATAGAACTGTGCACATCACAGGGTTTTTAAGGCTGTGACTTTTTGGGAGCAGGTCGCCAGGCCTTTCTTACAAGGTGCCTCTAGGTAAGCTCGAGCCGCCAATCGTTTGGTTAGCGGCTGAGCGAATTAACTGCACTACCCAGGGACTCCTTTCAAAACCCTGTTGTGTTGTTGGGTGCCGTTGAGTCGTTTGTGACTCCTGGCGATCCCATGTGACAGAGTAGAACTGCCCCATAGGGTTTCCTAGGCTGAAATCTTTATCGGAGCAGATTGGCAGGCCTTTCTCCTGTGGAGCCTGTTGCTTAACAGCCAAGAGCTTAACCATTGTGCCGTCAAGGTTCCTTTTCAAAACCCTAGGAACGAAGATTTAACATCCAGATGTGTCCAAGCCCTGGGCCACCTCCACAGACCTGCTTGACCTCTCTGTACCTCAGAGCAACCTGGCTGGAGGCAGGGGGCACAGTCCCTGCTTCCCGGGGCCCTTTGGGAGTCTAGGCTAGCTGGACCCCTGGGCTGCTGTGCAAAAGGAAAGAGAGTGCTCTCGAATGGGGTAACCAAGGCACAGAGAGGGGCTGAGTCCAGACTGGGTCGGGGGGCGAGGGGCTCTTCCAGCTGGCTTCCTCCTCTCTCAGACCAGGGGCTTCCTCAGTGTTCCAAGCCCTGGCCTCCCTTCTCTGACTGGGAGGAGATGGTCAGAGTCCCCCAGTGAGTGTGTGCCCCAAGAAGGGAGCCCAGCAGAGTGTCCAGTGCACTGACCAATCGGAACCCCAGAAAGGGAAGATGGTCATTTCCTCCCCAGCTCTCCGCACCCTCCCTTGGGGCCTTAAAAACCACAGCCCTGTGTGCAGGAGGAACCTTCCATCCACCGAGAGCCCAGGAGACCCGAATATGGTAAGTTCAGACGGGGCATGGACACGGGAACTCTCCACCTTTGTTCCCTCCTTTCTCAACTCCCTTTTTTCTCCAACATTTTCATTCTCTCTCTGTCTCTCCCTTTCCTGCCTCCCTCTGCCCCTCCTCAATCACTCTTCTTCTCCCCTGTTCCTCATCTCAGACTCCAGGGCTGAGATGAAGCTAAGAACTAAGATTATCAAGGGACTGTGGGAGCCACAGCAACCCCACAGGGCTGGAGATCCAAGAACATTTCCCAGGGGAGCAAACCCTTAAGTTGGGTCTTATAAAGATGACTAAGAATTCCACAAGAAGAGAATTCCAGAAAGGAGTTCCAGGTAGCTGGAACCAAAGGGGCAAAGGTTGGGAGGCTGGAGAGAGCCAGTTTGGAGGCACGGCGATGTTACTCTTGTGGAATTTCAGATGTTCTAAATTGTGGAGATGTGGAAACTGAGGCCCAGGCCAGGGCAGAAATGGCATGGGTCCTTCACAGTGGTTGGCAGCAGAACCGGGATGTTCCTTGGCTCCTGTGAGTCTCGGAGGGAGGCCGTCCCCAGGTGAAGTGAGGGTCCCCTCTTACACATCTGTGTCCTGAGGTCTGGGGACCAAGCCAGGCAGGCCGTGGTTTAGCACTTGGAGGCTCAGGTATTGCTTCATCTGGCTGAAAGAGGAAACGGAAAACAAGTTCGATGGACATGGGAGGGGTTTGATGTTGCTTCACCCCCCTCATCCCACCTTTGACATCCAACTTGGGCAAACAGGACTTTCAGAATAGGGCCAACTTATTAGCTTCTTCTTCTTTTTCTTTTCTTCCTTTCTGTAAAATATTCTAAAATACCAAAGGGGATTCAGTGAAAATGCACTCTCCCTGACCACCCCAGAGCCTCAGACCCCTTGTCATTTCCTTCCGAGGTAAACATGATGTCTTAGTCATCTAGTGCTGCTATAACAGAAATACCACAAATGCATGGCTTTAACAAAGAGAAATTTATTCTTTCACAGTCTAGGAGGCTAGAAGTCCAAATTCAGGTCTCCAGCTCCAGAGGAAGGTTGTATCTCTCTGTTGGGCTCTGGGGAAAGGTCCTTGTCATCAATCTAGTCTAGGAGCTTCTCAGCACAGGGACCCAGGTCCAAAGGATGCGCTCCCTCCTGGTTCTTCATTCTTGGTGGTAGGAGGTCCCACTCCTCTCTGATCGATTCTCTCTTTTATATCTCAAAAGAGATTGACACAACATACAACCTAATCCTGTAGATTGAGTGTTGCCTTATTAACATAACTGCCTCTGATCCTGCGTCATTAATATCATAGAGGTAGGATTTACAACATATAGGAAAATCACATCAGATCACAAAATAGCAGACAACCACACAATACCGGGAATCATAGCCTAGTCAAGCTGACACACATTTTTGGGGGACACAATTCAACCCATAACACATGGGTATCAGTTGATGGTGGATCCTATTAATGGAGATTTAGGTTGTTTCTAATATTTGGTCTTTAAAACCAAAACTGCAATGAATATGCCAGTGCTTACATCTTTGTACCCACCCTTTGGGTTTCCAGAATTGTAAATGCTGAATCCAGGGTATGTGCAATTTTTATTTTAACAGAGATTGCCAACATTGTATCAATTTATATTTCCCACCTACATTGCCTGAGAGTGCCTGTTTCCCTATGCCCTCACCTACACAGTTTTATCACACTTTTTCTACTTTTGCCAAATTGAGACGCAGTTCATTCATTGCCTCCTCAAGGGACCTGTAAGCTTGTCTTTTTCACTTGTTATTTTAAATATATTTATGTTTTTTAATGCTTCCAGTTCAGTCTAGTTACTGTCAAGTTGATTCTGACTCATGGTGACCCCCTGTGTGTCAGAGCTGACCTGTGCTCCGTAGGGTTTTCAACGGCTGATTTTTCAGAAGCAGATCACCAGGACTTTCTTCCAAGGTGCCTCTGGGTGGATGCGAACCACAAACCTTTCAACTAGGAGCTGGTTTGCACCACCGAGGGACTTCTTTTTTTTTTTTTTTTTTTCATAATAACAGCTTTCCTGAGGGAGTCAGAGATGCTTTCTGCACATTTTAATAAGCCTGTCATCCTGCCTCAAATTTTAAAAAATTTTACTGTACTTTAGGTGAAAGTTTGCAGTGCAAATTAGTTTCTCGTTCAAAAATGTATACACAAATTGTTTTGTGACACTAGTTGCAATGCATCAGCACTCTCCCCCTTTCCCTTTACACTCCAGGTTCCTAGTGTCCATTTGTCCAGTGTTCCTGTCCCTGCCTGCCTTCTTGTCTTTGCTTTTGGGCAGATGTTACCCATTTGGTTTTATGTATACTTGATTGAACTAAGAAGCACATTCCTCACATGTGTTATTGTTTGTTTCATGCCCTGAAAAAACAAACCCGTTGCCATCGAGTTGATTCTGACTCATAGTGATCCTACAGGACAGAGTAGAACTGCCCCACAGGGTTTCCAAGGAGCAGCTGGTGGATTCGAACTTCCGACCTCTTGGTTAGCAGCCGAGCTCTTAACCACTGTGCCACGAGGGGTCCCTCCTGTTTGTTTCATAGGCCTGTCTAATCTTTGGCTGAAAGGTAGACTTTGGGAGTAGCTTCAGTTCTGAGTTAGCAGGATAACCGGGGCGGGGGGGGGGTCATAGTTTCAGGGGTTCCTCCAGTCTCTGTCAGACCAGTAAGTCTGGTCTTTTTTTGTGAATTTGGATTTTTTTCTATATTTTTCTCCCACTCTGTCTGGGACCTCCATTATGATCCCTGTCAGAGCGGTTGGTGGTGGTAGCTGGGCACCATCTAGTTCTTCTGGGCTCAAGCTGGTGGAGGCTGTGGTTCATGTGGTCCATTAGTCCTTTGGGCTAATATTTTCCTTGTGTCTTTGGTTTTCTTCATTCTCCTTTGCTCTGGACAGGATGGGACCAATAGATGCATCTTAGATGGCCACTCACAAGCTTTTAAGACCCCAGACACTACTCACCAAAGTAGGATGTTGAACATTTTCTTTACAAGCTATGTTATACCAGTGGACCTAGATGTCCCCCGAGACCATGATCCCTGGCCCTCAGCCCCAGTAACTCAGTCCCTCAATGTGCTTGGATGTGTCTAGGAAGCTTCTATGACTTTGCCTTGGTCAAATTGTGCTGACTTCCCCTTTATTGTGTATTGTCCCAGGGACTCCTTTTTAATACTCAGGGATTTTTAATTACAAAGGTTGTGTGAATTAAAGAAGATAAATCTGAGTTGAAGTGCCTGCCCCCATCCTTGTATCCCATTTTTCAGAGGTAACAACCTATAACGGTTTTATGTGGTTCTGGGGATGGATTGTTTAAATACATCCTGTCCATATGGGAACAGGGAAGGCGGATGTTTAAGAAGAAAGCAGACTTGGCCTTTCACGTGTCTCCTGGCTCTGACAGCTTTCCGAAGTGGATCTGTTATTTCCACTTTAATAGGAGAACAGTTGGCAGGACTTTCCCCATCGGAAAGATGGAGAAACTGAAGCCCAGGCAGGGAAGAGGCTGGGAAAGTGTTCACCAGTTGCTCCTCCCATACACCAGCTGCACGATTGTGGACAAGTTATGTCTCTTCCCTGTGCCCTCAAGTCCTTCATCTTTTCCCCCTCTTTTTGCCCATTACCCTCATCCAGGTCTCCAACATCATTGACCTGGATCTGCACCCCAGTCTCTTCTCTGGTTCTCCTGTCTCTGAGTTCACCTTCAAAGTGGCCAGAGGGGATCTTTATAGATAGAAAATCTAACCTAGCACCTCTCCAGCTCAAAGACCATCTATGGCTCCCTATTGCCCCCAAATAAAATACAAATTCTTTAATATGGCATCTGCAGACCTTTCCAACCTCATCTTGGCTGCCTGCCAGCCATCTCACCTTCTTTCTTCTTCTGGTGTATAGCATCGCCCTCTTACCCTGGCACCTTCTGCCTGGAATGTGTACCCCTCCTTCCATACTTTTTGGCCTGTTAGCCACTCAATGACAGGGCTCTGGAGTTCAACTCTTGGAATTGGTCTCCTGTCTCTGCTACTTGCTAATTGTGAGATCTTAGAAAGGTCTCTCTCTCTTTTATTGTGCTTTAGGTGAAGGTTTACAGAGCAAATTAGTCTCTCATTAAACAATTAATACACATATTGTTTTGTGACATTGGTTGCCAACCCTGTGACATGTCAGCACTCTCCCCTCTTGACCTTGGAGTCCCGGTTTCCATTCGTCCAGCTTTCCTGTTCCCTCCTGCCTTCTTGTCCTTGCCTCTGGGCTGGTGTGCCCATTTAGTCCGTATACATGGTTGAACTATGTGTATTGCTGTTTGTTTTATAAGCCTGTCTAATCTTTGGCTGAAGGGTGAACCTCAGGAGTGACTTCAGTATGAGTTAAAAGGATGTTCAGGGGCCATTGAAAAGGTGTTTTAACCCCTTTGTAGCCTCATTTTTTTCATCTGTAAAATGGGTGTTGCCATAGCACCTACCTCATAAGGTTGTTATGTGGATTAAATGAGATAATACATGAAAAGTGCTTAGAATGGAGCTTGGCAATTATCATTGCATTATCGTAAGTACCTTGTCCTCTCCTTCATTCTGTTCTTATCAGATCCAGTCACTTCTCCTCACTGTCTCTGCCCTAGTCCAAGCCACCTGTCCCTCACTTCACCTGGACAATCCCAATCTCTTCTTCTTGGCTTCTCTGCAAACCATGTAACAGGCAAGCGTTTTTTTTAAACAGGAAAATATTCATCATACGAACAATAATAGTACCCAGTCTTCAAGGTTGTGACGTAGGTAATTAGCAAACCAACAAGGTCCCTGGGTGGCACAGATGGTTTGCTCCCGACTATTAACCCAAAACCATCTGTGCCACTCAGGGACCTTGTTGGTTTGCTCCCGACTATTAACCCAAAAAGGAGCCCTGGTGGCACCACAGTTAAGCACTCAGCTGCTAACTGAAATGTGGATGGTTCAAATCCGCCAGTAGCTCT